CCCGGGGGTGCGGCCCGGGGGCTTGCCCCCCCGTCTCCCGACCAGCAGACCAGGGAGACGGGGAGCAGCTTTTCTCGCCCCGGAGGATGGGGGCAGCGGACCGTGGCGCATCTGGGCGTCCCGCCGCTCCCGTCCTCCGGGGCGGGAAAAGCCCCGTTCGTAACTGTGGATCCGACATAAGTCAGATCCGCGTCGCTCGGGGACTGCCTGTACATGAGGAGCAGACATAGATGGTTTCTACATGTTTGGTTAGTCTAGAAAGTGCTCCCAGACCCCTTGTTGTTTCTCTCTGTACCAGACTAACTCGGCTACCCCTGAAGCTCCTAGACACAGAGCCAGGACAACACAAGCTTTCATCTGACACCTCGCGTGGCCCCTTTCTACAGACTTTGGGGCAAACACCCGCCCCATGGGCGCAGCAGTACCGGGCTGCTCCTAGGACTGCCCCCCAGCACCAATACCCAACAATGGGTTCTGAGACCACCCCCTGCAGTGTTACCCCAAAGCAGTGCCTGGGATCTGCCCCAGCGCTACCCGAGAGCAGTGCCTGGGATCTGCCCCAGCGCTACCCGAGAGCAGTGCCTGGGATCTGCCCCAGCGCTACCCGAGAGCAGTGCCTGGGATCTGCCCCAGCGCTACCCGAGAGCAGTGCCTGGGATCTGCCCCAGCGCTACCCGAGAGCAGTGCCTGGGATCTGCCCCAGCGCTACCCGAGAGCAGTGCCTGGGATCTGCCCCAGCGCTACCCGAGAGCAGTGCCTGGGATCTGCCCCAGCGCTACCCGAGAGCAGTGCCTGGGATCTGCCCCAGCGCTACCCGAGAGCAGTGCCTGGGATCTGCCCCAGCGCTACCCGAGAGCAGTGCCTGGGATCTGCCCCAGCGCTACCCGAGAGCAGTGCCTGGGATCTGCCCCAGCGCTACCCGAGAGCAGTGCCTGGGATCTGCCCCAGCGCTACCCGAGAGCAGTGCCTGGGATCTGCCCCAGCGCTACCCGAGAGCAGTGCCTGGGATCTGCCCCAGCGCTACCCGAGAGCAGTGCCTGGGATCTGCCCCAGCGCTACCCGAGAGCAGTGCCTGGGATCTGCCCCAGCGCTACCCGAGAGCAGTGCCTGGGATCTGCCCCAGCGCTACCCGAGAGCAGTGCCTGGGATCTGCCCCAGCGCTACCCGAGAGCAGTGCCTGGGATCTGCCCCAGCGCTACCCGAGAGCAGTGCCTGGGATCTGCCCCAGCGCTACCCGAGAGCAGTGCCTGGGATCTGCCCCAGCGCTACCCGAGAGCAGTGCCTGGGATCTGCCCCAGCGCTACCCGAGAGCAGTGCCTGGGATCTGCCCCAGCGCTACCCGAGAGCAGTGCCTGGGATCTGCCCCAGCGCTACCCGAGAGCAGTGCCTGGGATCTGCCCCAGCGCTACCCGAGAGCAGTGCCTGGGATCTGCCCCAGCGCTACCCGAGAGCAGTGCCTGGGATCTGCCCCAGCGCTACCCGAGAGCAGTGCCTGGGATCTGCCCCAGCGCTACCCGAGAGCAGTGCCTGGGATCTGCCCCAGCGCTACCCGAGAGCAGTGCCTGGGATCTGCCCCAGCGCTACCCGAGAGCAGTGCCTGGGATCTGCCCCAGCGCTACCCGAGAGCAGTGCCTGGGATCTGCCCCAGCGCTACCCGAGAGCAGTGCCTGGGATCTGCCCCAGCGCTACCCGAGAGCAGTGCCTGGGATCTGCCCCAGCGCTACCCGAGAGCAGTGCCTGGGATCTGCCCCAGCGCTACCCGAGAGCAGTGCCTGGGATCTGCCCCAGCGCTACCCGAGAGCAGTGCCTGGGATCTGCCCCAGCGCTACCCGAGAGCAGTGCCTGGGATCTGCCCCAGCGCTACCCGAGAGCAGTGCCTGGGATCTGCCCCAGCGCTACCCGAGAGCAGTGCCTGGGATCTGCCCCAGCGCTACCCGAGAGCAGTGCCTGGGATCTGCCCCAGCGCTACCCGAGAGCAGTGCCTGGGATCTGCCCCAGCGCTACCCGAGAGCAGTGCCTGGGATCTGCCCCAGCGCTACCCGAGAGCAGTGCCTGGGATCTGCCCCAGCGCTACCCGAGAGCAGTGCCTGGGATCTGCCCCAGCGCTACCCGAGAGCAGTGCCTGGGATCTGCCCCAGCGCTACCCGAGAGCAGTGCCTGGGATCTGCCCCAGCGCTACCCGAGAGCAGTGCCTGGGATCTGCCCCAGCGCTACCCGAGAGCAGTGCCTGGGATCTGCCCCAGCGCTACCCGAGAGCAGTGCCTGGGATCTGCCCCAGCGCTACCCGAGAGCAGTGCCTGGGATCTGCCCCAGCGCTACCCGAGAGCAGTGCCTGGGATCTGCCCCAGCGCTACCCGAGAGCAGTGCCTGGGATCTGCCCCAGCGCTACCCGAGAGCAGTGCCTGGGATCTGCCCCAGCGCTACCCGAGAGCAGTGCCTGGGATCTGCCCCAGCGCTACCCGAGAGCAGTGCCTGGGATCTGCCCCAGCGCTACCCGAGAGCAGTGCCTGGGATCTGCCCCAGCGCTACCCGAGAGCAGTGCCTGGGATCTGCCCCAGCGCTACCCGAGAGCAGTGCCTGGGATCTGCCCCAGCGCTACCCGAGAGCAGTGCCTGGGATCTGCCCCAGCGCTACCCGAGAGCAGTGCCTGGGATCTGCCCCAGCGCTACCCGAGAGCAGTGCCTGGGATCTGCCCCAGCGCTACCCGAGAGCAGTGCCTGGGATCTGCCCCAGCGCTACCCGAGAGCAGTGCCTGGGATCTGCCCCAGCGCTACCCGAGAGCAGTGCCTGGGATCTGCCCCAGCGCTACCCGAGAGCAGTGCCTGGGATCTGCCCCAGCGCTACCCGAGAGCAGTGCCTGGGATCTGCCCCAGCGCTACCCGAGAGCAGTGCCTGGGATCTGCCCCAGCGCTACCCGAGAGCAGTGCCTGGGATCTGCCCCAGCGCTACCCGAGAGCAGTGCCTGGGATCTGCCCCAGCGCTACCCGAGAGCAGTGCCTGGGATCTGCCCCAGCGCTACCCGAGAGCAGTGCCTGGGATCTGCCCCAGCGCTACCCGAGAGCAGTGCCTGGGATCTGCCCCAGCGCTACCCGAGAGCAGTGCCTGGGATCTGCCCCAGCGCTACCCGAGAGCAGTGCCTGGGATCTGCCCCAGCGCTACCCGAGAGCAGTGCCTGGGATCTGCCCCAGCGCTACCCGAGAGCAGTGCCTGGGATCTGCCCCAGCGCTACCCGAGAGCAGTGCCTGGGATCTGCCCCAGCGCTACCCGAGAGCAGTGCCTGGGATCTGCCCCAGCGCTACCCGAGAGCAGTGCCTGGGATCTGCCCCAGCGCTACCCGAGAGCAGTGCCTGGGATCTGCCCCAGCGCTACCCGAGAGCAGTGCCTGGGATCTGCCCCAGCGCTACCCGAGAGCAGTGCCTGGGATCTGCCCCAGCGCTACCCGAGAGCAGTGCCTGGGATCTGCCCCAGCGCTACCCGAGAGCAGTGCCTGGGATCTGCCCCAGCGCTACCCGAGAGCAGTGCCTGGGATCTGCCCCAGCGCTACCCGAGAGCAGTGCCTGGGATCTGCCCCAGCGCTACCCGAGAGCAGTGCCTGGGATCTGCCCCAGCGCTACCCGAGAGCAGTGCCTGGGATCTGCCCCAGCGCTACCCGAGAGCAGTGCCTGGGATCTGCCCCAGCGCTACCCGAGAGCAGTGCCTGGGATCTGCCCCAGCGCTACCCGAGAGCAGTGCCTGGGATCTGCCCCAGCGCTACCCGAGAGCAGTGCCTGGGATCTGCCCCAGCGCTACCCGAGAGCAGTGCCTGGGATCTGCCCCAGCGCTACCCGAGAGCAGTGCCTGGGATCTGCCCCAGCGCTACCCGAGAGCAGTGCCTGGGATCTGCCCCAGCGCTACCCGAGAGCAGTGCCTGGGATCTGCCCCAGCGCTACCCGAGAGCAGTGCCTGGGATCTGCCCCAGCGCTACCCGAGAGCAGTGCCTGGGATCTGCCCCAGCGCTACCCGACCTTTGCTCTCCGCACCTTGCGATCCCCAGCAGGCCTGTGCCCAGCCCTTGCCAGCCTTCCCGGCGCCCGAGTGCCCCTCTGACGTGGAGCCGGACACCAGGGAGATGGTGCGGGTGCAGAATAGAAAGAAGAAAAAGTCTGGAGGCTTCCAATCTATGGGTGAGTGGCCAGTGGAGACAATCTTGCGAGACTTGCTCCAAGGGGCTTGGCAACGCTGCCCCTTTTCTGCAAGGCCGTTTCACATCCTGATCCCATTCACCTTCTCCTGCAGGCTTGAGTTATCCCGTGTTTAAAGGGGTTATGAAGAAAGGCTACAAAGTGCCAACACCAATCCAGCGAAAGGTAGGAGGCTCCACTGCATGCAGTGTCATTCTTACGGGGGGGGGGTTGGTAAAGCCATGGGGGGATCTCCGGAGGTGACTTCTGGAATGCTTTGTGGGGTTGAGGTGAAAGAGAAATCTCACTGTGCTGGCAAGTCTTTACTAACACTGGCTCTAGCTAGAGGTGGCTAGCACCCCTGTACCTAACCTGTAGGTTTTAATGCTGTCCACGAACTTCAGTCTCTCCAGCTCCTCCCCCTCAAATGTTGCTAGGTTCCAAAAAGATTCAGATGTTTATGTGGATTACAATAGCATCCCTGGATAGCCCAGAGCATGAGGAGCACAGATTAAGAATCTTCCACCTGGATTGGAGCAGCATCTGTTCTTGTCTTGCAGGCCATCCCTGTGATCCTGGATGGGAAAGACGTGGTGGCCATGGCAAGGACAGGCAGTGGGAAAACAGCTTGTTTCCTCATCCCCATGTTTGAGAAGCTGAAGGTGCACAGTGCCCAGACAGGGGCACGAGCCCTCGTCCTGTCGCCAACCCGTGAGCTCGCCTTGCAGACGATGAAATTCACAAAGGAGGTAGGGACTGGGGGACGCAGCACCAGCTGTTCAAAAAGACATTAGGACTGGAGTAGCTAGGAGCTTTCTCAGAGGTGGGACTTGAGCACATGGTACACTGAACTTGTGATATGGAGAGGTGCTGCAGGACAGCCATTGCTAAAGGACTGTTTCTTGTATGACATGACTAGCCTGTGGAACTCATTGCCACAAGCTCTCATTGAAGCTAAAAATGTAGCAGAGATCCAGAAAGATGCGGATGTTTCTGTGTTGATTATGAGAACATCTGTGGATACTCCAGTGATGGATCCAGAATAAGACTGTGAAGAGAATAGAACTAGATGTGAAAAAAAATAAATGAGGGAGAACTCATCAGACTTCATCACATAAGCCACTAGGTTGGGGGTAAGGCAGGAAATGTGCCCGAAGGCAGGTTATTCCATACTGGTCCGCTAGGGTTAGAGATGGAGGCAGGTTGTAGCAACCTGATCCAAAGGCTTAGCAATATCAGCAGGGTGTGCATTCCTCCCGAGGCAGCTACGCCCCTTGCGCTGGGGTAGCCCTGACAGTTGAGGTGAAGCGTCTTTTGGTTGGGGACAAGAGGAGTGGGGAACTGGAGGCAATTGGGACTGACAATCCTGTTTCTTCTCCTGCAGCTGAGCAGGTTCACAGGCCTGAAGACTGCGTTGATTCTGGGAGGAGACAGGTAAGCCCATGGCAGTCCAGCAAGTGGCCATCCCACCGGACCCAGCTGCAGCTTATTGAAAACTGAAATGCTTGTGGATATTTTGTCAATGTGTTTTTCCCCAGAATAGGTCAGTTTCAGTGACACTCTGGAACTATTGGCTCGCTTAGTGTCCAGATGGATATTGGTCTGGCTCAGTGACGCTGCAGTGGGTAGAAACATCACAGCTGGGTCTGGAGCGGGATTGCCAGGGCTGGGCCCTTCAGACAGTTCTGTTCATTTTAAATTCTTTTCTTAAAGTGTCTTGGCCCCTGTCGGCCTGTCCCCAGTATCGGGACCTAGTCCCAGCTGCTTGCGTGCACGCGGCAGATGGCTTGCACCGGGCTCAGAGGATTTCAGAAACAGGGCGCAGAGGAAGGGCCTCATTGGGCAGCGTGCTGCTCTCTAGCCAGCCTGTTCCTGGCAAGCTGGGCTCAGGCATCCGCATGCTCAGAAATCAGCCTGGGGCAGGTGGGGCTTGGCAAAGCGCATGGGGCTCAGGTCTGCTGCTGGGCGGGTGGAGTCCTGTGCTGTCATAGCCTGCAGTATTGCTCCCATGCCTGCCCTTCTTACCAGCACCTCATGTCTGTCTCTCCTCTAGGATGGAAGACCAGTTTGCAGCTCTGCACGAGAACCCTGATATGTAAGTCTGACTGCCCGGGGCAGAGACTTGTGCTCTCCACGTGGATTGGGGGCAGGAGGTCACAGCATGGGGCCTTGTGGGTGGATTTTTTCCTTTTTCTTGGAAGTGTTGAGACCTGGAGGATGTATCCCACCCAGTTCATTCTCCAGGACTGCCCTGGGGCGACTTTGGTTAGGCTGCTGTGACTTTCTCTCACTGTGTTGTGGTAGCATCAGGAGCTCTTGCCAGAGAGCAGAGCCCTGTCCTCTGGGCACGGCGCATGCAGAACAAGCGCTCAGGTGCTGCATGCCTTGCACTCATGGTACAAATGGGGAGTGATTGCTCCGATGCCGATGGAGTCACAGCCTGGTAACCCTCTGCTTAGCCTCTGCTTCAATAAGCATCCAGACTAGCACCCATTGGTACCTCTGAGAGCATCTTCCTGTGTATACCCTGGAGGGGAGGGGAGGCGCACAGCCTGGCGATGGGGCTTCCTGGGCTGGACCTGTCACCTGATGGCCCGTGGCCTGGGCAGGCAAGGTGGATGGGAGGAAGCGGTGGCTTGTCCTGTATTGTCACTAGCTGTAGAGAGATCGCTGCAGTTTTCACGACACTCCAGCAGGACAAGTGGGTGTGGTGGCAGCTGGTATCTGTCATTCCAGAGTCATTGGCACCCCCGGGCGCCTGATGCACGTGATGGTGGAAATGAACCTGAAGCTGCACAGCGTGGAATACGTGGTGTTTGATGAAGCTGACAGGTCAGTTCCTGACATTGCAGTAGCCGGGAGTTCACTGTGGTGCGCTTGTCAGCCCCTCTGCCCCTGGAGCTCCCAGGATACCCCTCCGTCAGCCAAGTGGGGGGCGATGGTGCTTGCTGTGGCTGCATCCCATGGACGCCTGTTGGAAAGGAGCACAGGTGGGAGGGTGGATTCTCAGCTCTGGCAGGCTCCATGTGCCTGATGGGTGAGGTGCGAGGCCAGAGAGGAAGCACAAACCAGGCCAAGCATCTTGGGAGAGCAGCCAGCTGGTGAGGTGATGCCTTGGCTGTTGCTTCTGGGCAAGATCTTCCGCGTGCAGGGGCCAGCGCCAGGGCTGGCATGTGGGCTTTTAGCGCTGGGCAAAGAGAAGCTCCTTAGTGTTGAATTTAAGGGCTCATCCTGGGAGGCAGCAGCTTGCCCCTGCATATTGGGGTGAGTGGCCCCGTGCAAGCACCCCAGTGCTTTCCGGATGGTGGGGTCCCAACTGTGGCAGTGGGGTGACTTGCTGGGTGGTGTGGCTGCTGACCGTGGCATTGTTGGCTTCCTCCGCAGGCTCTTTGAGATGGGGTTTGCAGAGCAGCTGCAGGAGATCATCGCCCGGCTCCCCGAGGGCCGCCAGACCCTGCTTTTCTCTGCCACGCTCCCCAAGCTGCTTGTGGAGTTTGCTCGGGCTGGTAAGGAACAGCCCCATGCAGGGAAGGGGAGGTAACAAGCGGAATGGCTGTAGCTATGATGACCTGCCCTTCTAGGGCAGGGGAAGGGTTCCCCACCTGCTCTGCCCTATTGGCCGAGGACCAGGTGGATCCGTGCTGCCTGTGCCTCTTCAGTTCAGAGCACTTTGCCCGTGCTGCTTGGCAAGCGAATGCCAGTGCTTGTGAAAGCTGGCAGCTGGCTGCACGCAGGGCTGGCCTGCGCTGGCAGATCTCCCCCCAACTTGCAGCACCCCTAAAAACGAGTCTGCTGCCACACCTGACAGCCTGCGGCCCTTCCCCTTGTGCCAGCTCACGCTCCCCGCCTCGCTCACAGGTCTCACGGAGCCAGTCTTGATCCGGTTGGACGTGGACACAAAGCTCAGTGAACAGCTCAAGGTGAGGCTCGCTTGGCGTTCGCGCGGGCTGGGACCTGTCCAGCGTGTAGGGCGAATGAGCTAGCAGGAGGTGGATGCTTGGACGGGCGACGAGGGAGCAGTATGCAAATTTTGCCCAAGCAGGGAGGCCACAGCTAGCAAGAGACGTGGAGGGGAACGAAGGGTTTCTAGAGGTATCTTAGCAGAAGGCTGAGGAAGGTGTAGGACCCTTGTGGAATGGGCGAGGCAGCCTGACACCATGTGGGAAAAGCTGGAGAAGTCAGTACTTTGTGCCCTGGTCTCCACAGACAAGATCTGCTCCCAGGCGGCTGCGTTGGGCGGCGCAGTGTGGGGACAGAACAGGTGAAGGACTGTTGAGAGAAGCTGGGTGTACTCAAGTCCAGGGCTCAAATCGAAGGCATCTGAGGGTGCTGAGGGAGTTGGCTGATGTGACTGCAGAGCTGTTGGCCGTTATCTTTGAAAATCCCCGGGACTCGGGAGAGGTCCTGGGTGATTGGAAAAAGCGAATGTTGTGCCCATCCCTTAAAGAGAGAGAGAAGGCGAATCCGGGGAACAGACCAGCCAGCCTCCTCTCAGTCCCTGGAAAAGTCCTGGAGCAGGAAT